AATGGCCAACTGTGGATCCTGTAATCGTAAAGTAGACGTTTTAACCGTAATGAGAAAAGTGCAATAGACGGTTGTCGTAAACGGGAGTCAACGAAAAAGGAGACGAGAATAGAGGCGTTAACCGTTAACCGTAGTCGTTACCAACGAGTAGTAATACGGGAGAAAATACTTTTGTCAGCCGACATAGCACGATGTCCTTCGACAGTTCGCTCATGTTTGATCGGCAATTATCAGAGAGACGAGCAAGTAAGCAACCAACCAAGCACGCCTCGTTCAACCAACCACACTAGGTCACCCGTCCCAAATTCCTACCGAATGTCCGGCTTTTCGCTCCGTTATCTCTTTTTTTTGTATTTTGTTTTTTGTTTTTTACAAATCCTCCTCCCCACCCCCACCCGATCATTCGATCGATCGATCGATCGAAATAATCAATTAATCGTAATCCAATGGAACGTTTCATATAGTTGTTTTTATTTTTATAACACATCCAATTCACGACGTGTTTCTTGACATTTTTATCCAATTAAATAATAATAATATTCTTATCGTAATAATATTTGATTGTTTGGAAAAGTTCTCGTTGTCGATTTGAAAAAAAAAAGAAATATTACGAGAAAATAATATTTAAAGGAACTTTCCAATTGTGTACAATTGCAAAATCAATTTGCAATGAATATTTGCTGTGAATAAATTGAAAATTAAATCTTCTTCTCTAACGAATATAGAAAAAATGTATTTTTTTTTTCTTTTTTTCTTCAGTATAAGATATTGTTTAGTATCGTCACGTATTTGCAGAATGTAGGCAAGTGGGTTTCGTTATTCTTGCATATACTTGTCTCCGTTGAGAAGAGTCAAGAGACAGCCGTGAAGACGCAAGACCTTGACCAGGTGACACGGTCCGTCGGGTTGTTGGACGTTGACTCTCCGGCATTGAATTAGCGGTTGATATATAGTATGTACCTACTGCACGTACTGTTACATCGCGATATACCCGTTCACTGTGTCAGTAACGCGGAACAATCTTACAAATAAATTATTTAAGAAGTATCTTCATTAAGAAATAAACTATAATCACCAGTTTCTACTTTAATATAATATTAATAACAAAATCGTTATTTATAAAATATATTCTTTTTATTTTCCATCATATCAATCGATTCTTCTCTAAACGTAATCGCATAGATTTTATTCGAACGGACACAAAAAATAAAAAAATAAAATGCCTCGGGGCAAAATGGTAAAACAATTACGGGATCTTCGATCGTACCGTTCTCGATCTTAAAACTCGCGTGCGTGATCGATACCAAGGACAAATCGTGACTTGTTGTTCCAATAAAATGGAAATTAGATAAAGTTCGATGACCTCCTCCACTCCTTCCCCCTCTCTCCCCACCCTCTACTATATTCCATCTAGTATTTATTATCCAATATTCGATATTAAAATTGCAGACAAAATTTCTCTTCGTATAGAATTTCGATCGAAGAAATTCGAAATGAACCGTTCTTATAATGTAATAAAACAGAAAATAATAAGTTATTTGAATTTAAATCGATTTGCAATTCGTGTCGTACTAATCGTGAACACTTGTTCCCCATATACAACGTTCGAATAATAAAAATCACCTGGGGGCTATTTACACGTTCGTTCTTCTACATACTAACTCGTTGCTGAATCGAGCACGAAGAAGATCTGGCGTAGTGCCAAATACATATAACGGTTTGGTAATTCCAAAGTCAGGCATTCGTATAATGAGTACGTACATACCTAATAGTGACCCATATAGAGAAAGGAGAGACCTCGAGACCTCCTCTCTTCTTTCGTTATTTCGTTCTTTCGTTCGTTTACCTGCCCTACCCCCCTTCTCATTCCCCCCTTCTCATTTCCCCCTCCTCATTTTCCCTTAACATCTTTCCTTTCACTCCCTCTTATTCTCACCGTAGCCTATACCAAAACCTTCCTATCTTTCTCTCTCTCTCTTTTTCTCTCTTCACAAGCGTGATTTTGACCAACCTACCTCGAAAAACGTTACGTGCATACTCATTTGAATAAAACGAGAAAAAGCTTTGCCTCATTTCTTCGTAGCTTTCTCAAATCTGTTTAAAACGTTTCTATGTATTCCTTGGTAAATATGAAATCTTTCCAAACGATGATTTTGTGAAGATATTAATTTTATGTAATTATTTAATTAAACTATATTAATTCTCGATTTCAAATTAGAACGGCAAATAGAAAACGCGAATAAGGAGAAATAATTAATCAATTATAATATTATTATATACAGGAAATGGCGAGCGCGCGGATTAAATCAACACGTTCATTAGCTCGTTTTTTTTATATATATACCAGTACAAAAGAAGTAAATTTAACTGAGAGAGAGATAAGGAAACATTAATCTAAATCGACGATTATATATATATTTCATGTATCATAAAGTAGATAGAAATAAGGAGAGTATCTACATGCTATTTAAATTAATCTATCTTTTTCACGGTATCAATCGCATGGTAATTGATTACTAAGAAGCAACCCGACAACTCGATAGTGAAACCATACACGTTGCACTTTCTCAATGCGGTCTGAAACGTTATTAAACTGGATCATCGGCCATTTATCTATACATCCTCACTTCTAATATACTTTCTAATCGTAAACGATATCTCTTAGATTGAAATAAAGAAATAAAATATAAGAAGAAGAGAAAAAAAAAAAGAAAAAAATTATGATAGAAATATTTCGTGTTATTCGTAAGTTGTTTATTTATAAATATCATACGAAACGAAAGTAGATACGGAAAGTCACTTCCCGTACGATGACAAGAAAGTGAAAAACCACGTGGTCGTTTGTAATACTACCTTTACCATACGCGGGACACGTAATTTTGCTCTCACCGAGATAAATAGATGGAGATAGAGAGAGAGAGAGAGAGGTGAGAAAGAGATTATTATCACCAGCAGTGTCATTAACGCATTAAGTGGAACTAAATTGCACTACTCGTCGTAGGTATAATAACTCAATCGTTGACGTAACGAAAATTGGATTAAATCCTTCGCACGATATTCCCTCGTTAAAATTTATTGATAGCAAACGTAGCATTATCATTAAATTAATCTCTAACAGCAAATTAAGTCTTTCGCAATTAGATAATCCGATCAATATATCTAATTTGCAATTATTTTAATATTACATGTACCTTACAATGGCTTGTTTTATTTTCTCTCTCTCTCTCTCTCCCTCTTTGTATGTAAAAAGTTATAAAAAATCGGATACCTCGTCTCACTTTTTCGAATAATTCCAAAAATTTATGAAAAGGGTGATAAAAATAAAAGCGCAAAGAAACGAAAAAAAAGGAGGGAAAATTAGAACGAAGAGGGAAAGAAAAACAATCATCAAAGTAACTCGATCAAAATAAAATAAAAGAAAGAGAAAAAGAAAACAATAAGAATGAAAAAAAATAAAATAACTAACACGAACGACACTTTGGCACGAAGTAAAAATGAAAAAAAGAAAAAAGAAAAAATTAATAGATAAATTATTAATATTAAAAAAAAGAAGGGTGAGAGTTTATATAAAAGCCTCACCTAATATGCGCAACCCTTATATTTACTTCGACCGCGATTTCTAACGCAAATTAGCAGATTAGTTGATTAGCCGCAATTTCGCGCGACGACACGCGGTTGCGGCGATTACGGTGTTGATTGCGGCAACTGCGGCGTGTCCGCGATCGCGAAGGTGCACGCGAGAACTCGTCGACTCGGAATGGGATACACCTGTCCGATATACAGAGTATACTACAAACTTGCCGGCCCGCCCCCTGACCCAGACACACAGTACAGTTATATAGGTCCCACACGAGGAGAACCGAGGATATCTCTCCTCGTTCGAGCTCTTGCGATCCTGACAACCACCACGCTTGCACCTCCTCCTCCTCTTCCTCCTCTTGCTCCTCTTCCTCCTCCTTTTCAATCTCCTCATTCTCCTTCTCCTCCTCTTCTTCTTCTTTCTTTTCTTTTCTTTCCCACCTCTTTACTTATTGAGTGGTCCACTACCACACCACAAACCTAACTCGTGTTCATTCGAACTCGATGACAGCATCTGAACATCTCTTTTGAATAAGCGAGAGAGAGAGAGAGAGAGAGAGAGAAAGAGAAAGTTTATTACAGAATTTTATAAATTTTGTTGTTTTCATTTAAAATTAATCGTTTTGATAAGAATTATAATAGAGATTTTGATCAGATATTTCGGTCTGGATACTTTTAAATCATTTATTCTTTAAATTGACAGAATAAGATTGCAAAGAGATACGGATGTGAATAATTTCTTCATTAACGAGTTTATATATATATATATATAATGAATTTTTAAAAAGATTTTTATAAGATTATTTATTAAGTTGAAATTATATTTTTATTCTTAATTAGTGACGCGATTTGAAAAGTTATATCCTATTTGGTCACAGTAATAATCCGATATTTTATTCCACAACCCATTAGTATTATATTTTTTACCAATGTGAAGATTTAATTTCTAGGCCACGAAAAGCCCGCCTTGGAATAAAAATGCGCGTCGAGAGCTTCCAATTATCAACACTGGCGCTGGTGTAGATCGAACAGGGAAGAAACAATATTACCAAGAACCTGCGTATTTTAAATTAGAAAATTTTAATATTTTTATTCGATTACGGTATCATTTTTTTTACAAATTTTTATAAACACAACTCTTGAATATGTTCTGACATTTTTTTAAATAGTCAAACACTTTGCTTTCCTATTATTAATAGAAATAAATTCTATACACTAACTTTAGGTTTAAACATTGTTTAATTTTACGTTCATGTGGGATTATCGATCTAATATGTTTGAATTATTTTCAAATAATATAGCAAAGCAGTATGGAATAAAAAGTAATATATGTGAGAGAAATATAATAAAATGTATTATATATTATTGTTTTTTTAAATTAAATACAAGTTGAAGAAATAATTAAAAAAGATCATTTTCTGGTACGATAATTTGATCTTTATTTTATCTAATATTTACAATTGCATTTACACAAAATACCTACATTCCTTCTTCCTGCATATTTACATTTAAATTACAATATAATTAAAATATGTTGTACGTTATAGCCAATCCGCGAGCTGTTCCAATTGTCGTCGTACTCTGTAAATAATATTGATAATATCCAAGTCGTGTGTTCTTTTCATAGTCATTTAATAATTAATTATATAAACAGCCAATGATCGTTCTGTTTGAATTTATTTCGTGTAGAAAACGAAAAGAAGTACAAATTTTTTTCTAATATAGTCTTCTTCTGCAGAATTATATCACACTGTCTTTTTCGCAGATTGTTAATCATTTTGCGCTTCTTCTTAAAAACTTTATTATCTGCTTCTCTATAATTGACAGGTCACGAAATGTATAATATTTCGCAGACAACGATACTACCACCGGATAAGAATGACATACATTATCTTACACCATGACCAATACTAATTAGCGAGTGTCGTGAGCACGTGACAATTTCTATACTAAAACGTTTAATGCACAGGAATAACCATATATGTTTTTTTTTTTTTTTTAATTTTGTTTTTTCTCTTTTTTTTGTTTGTTTGTTTGTTTGCTTGCTTGCTTGCTTTCACACCGCTTGTGATGTTAAATTACGTGCTTTAACACATAGTGTGATCAATAAATTATGTGAGCCATCTCGAACGTTCATCTAAAATCTCATATATTGCGAGTGCAGCAATATTGCCCTAAGATGTTGCTCCTTCCTCTTTTCTAAACGTATTTTTACGAAGAACACTTTTTAAGAAAATTACATTAATAATGCATTTTGACGTTAAAACACATTACTATATTGTCTTTCGTATATTGCGCCATATATATTTACTTTAAAGATTTAAAAAAAATATTTTAGAAATCATTATTCAGATTAAAAAATTCTTAGCTTAACAGTAAATTATCGAGTTTATCTATTCGCAAAACTTTACTTATTCAAATCGTTCCTCTAATAATTAAGTCGATTATTATTGCATTGCAATACAAGCGTAAAATGGTTACGCTTTCTTTTTCATTTCTCTTCTTGCTTTTTCTTTTTTTGTGGTTTTGTTTTGCATTGCTTTTTTATGAAAATGCTCTCTTTGCGCATCTCTTTGCGTTTCGATAGAAAAAAAAAAACAAAAAATAAAATGACACGTATATTTATTATTTTTTTAATTTTTTCTTGTTGTAAAAGAACGGTTGTGTATATTTTTTTTTGTAACGTAACTTTGGTGGTTTATACTTAAAAATATAACGACTACGCGACTACAGTGAACCAGCACCGAAACAGATATTTTACTTAGGAAATTATCAAATGTGTGGCTTATTTGTGTGTATGCTTGAGTGTTCGTTTGGTGGTTTGTTTTTTGCAAAAAATGTCGATTAAAGAGGATTACATAGTCATCATCACATAGCTTTACCAATAATACTTTTAGTCTCTTCGGCAAAAGAGTAAATATATATGTATATATGTATACGTATATATTATGAGAATTATCATCATATATGCATAGGCGCGCGTACATGTCTCGTGGCTACGTTTAAAATAAGTTTCTTTTTTTTTTTTTTCCATTTTTTTTTCTTTTTTTTTTTTTTTTTTTTTAAATAGGCGTTATCACGTAAGAGCTTTGAAAAATATATGTGTATATCGCACGCGATAAATAGTTCTCTATTAACGTTTAGGTAATACTCGCGGCATATAACATATAGAATTTGTTTGATAAACTTCCAATAAACAGCTTGTAGTTATTTAATACCGTTTAACCGCATCATCATCACCATCATCATCATCATCATCATCATACAATGTATCAGAGATTCGTGATATTGAATAAAGACAAAGAATGCTTTGATATTTAATTATTATATCTATTCGATTATTCATTTTTTATGAATAACGATGTTGCGTTACGCGAGAGCAGAAGCAGGTAACGAACTGTGTTTCGGTTTGGTTTTATTTAAGAAAACCTTGATGAATCCATTGAAATCAGCGCTGACAAGTACGTGACCACCGCAGCCTTTAGTACGTTGCTCTACTACAGGATCAACTGGTGCATTGTTCATATTTGAATGTCCTATACTTTTGGAATCATCCTTTCCTTCCCATTGCTCCCTCGCTTCTATCTGTTTAATGATACTATCTGGATTTGGTGCAAATACTGCACAAGTAACAACAGCATTGTGAGCTTTTATTCCTTCCCAAAAGTCATTACGATCTCTACGAACACTCGAAAATTTGGAGTAATCGTGATGCGTTTTCCATATGTAAATGCATTGATTTTCTGATCCGCTTACTATGTATTGACCATCCGGACTAAAGCTCGCTTTTATTTGACTGCTTACGTTAACGTATCCCTTGTACTTGCAGGATAAATTTAAATCTCTTAAATCGTACAAACGTATTCGACTATCGTTCGAGGTAACTAGGATCTTGTCCTCGCCAGGCATCGGTTCGATACCACTTATTTTTCGTCCGGTTGAATTCTTTCCTCTCGTCGAACGTACATCTATTTGAGTATGATACTTTAAATGATCAGTGTTATAAAATATACATCGACCGTCGTAAGAGCCAACGACTGCGAATTTGCCATTTTGACAAAAGTTAGCAGCCGTAATTAATTTTGTTTGACCATCTACCTCGTTCCATACAGCTACCTTCTTATCGGGTATATTCCAGAGACGAAGTTTACCATCGAGCGAGCCAGAAAGGAAATATCGATCATCTCGTGGATGAAACACTATCGCTGTTACAAAGTCTATATGCTGAAAGCAACATAAGCATTCCTTTCGTGATATATGCCATAGTCTGACGGTCTTATCCATAGATGACGATAAAACAAAATAGTTCTTCGACCATGAAACGTCTAGTAAATCCGACGTATGTCCTGTATACGTACAGAATGGCTTTGGCATAAATGGACTCTTCGTTCCTTCTATCTCACTGAAGGCACTCGCTACGACGTTAGGATCCTCCATAGATTGCTGAGATACTAAAGATTCTTGAGACGGCGTTGGACTGACCTTCTCCGCGTTATACTTTGTTCTCATATCTTGGAAATAGGAGAATGCATCTCTTAAAACCCAAATTCTTAAAACACGATCCTGTCCGGCAGTACCTAATAATCTACCGCATGCAGAAAATTTCATGCACCAGACTGGACCAACGTGTTCACCACTAAGATCTTGTACATGTTGCAAACAACTGAATTCGTATGGGCCTTTGTGACTATTGGATGCTTTTAATTTGATATATTGTTGTTCCCCAGGGTAAACGTCGTCAACGATATCCATCACATCTTCTTTGTGTCTTGCGTGTGATACTTCCTGAGCGATAGACTTAGCTTTGTCCATCGTTTTCTTAACCGTAGATCCTAAAAATCGTTTTAACTTTTGCGTTCGCTTACGAACTCTACCAACTGAAACATCCTCGTCAGGTGGTATACTCGACATTTTACTATCCACGCTTTCCTCATCACTTTCTTTCTCTTTTTCCAAACTGGAATTACTTATGTACTCCGAGGTAAGTCTCATTATATGTAAAGATAAAGGATTAATGCATTGTGGTAATTTATCTTCGGCTATGCTTAATGGCACTCTTTCTCCTGTATCCAAGTTGAGTACAGTTACTTGTTCTAATATCTCCTGAAATCATATAGTTAAGACAGATATTAGATTTGTTAATTGATTTTTTAAATCGATATTATTAGCATTGATTGTATCGTAATTACCATATCTGTAAGACGTTTTCCTGAATCAGTTCGCGTTCTTACAAACATATTTAATTGTTTCACCATATCTTGATCACCAGCAGATTTTCGTCTTTCTCTAGAACCATGTGGACTAAAGCCAGGAAGTTTATGGGGGCCTAAAGAATATCGACCGATACTGTTGCTCGATATAGATCCCATAGGACTACTACTAGATTTATCACTAGATCGTACGCTAAGTATTTCTGCTTTCATTCGCTCTATTCTTTCTAGTTCTTCGGTCGACGGTCCTTCGGCTTTTGATTTATCTTCATCCTAGAAAAATAAATGATAGTATTCTTAAGATATTACTTATTTTTGCATTAGTACATTGTCTCGTTACTCACTTGTGGCTTCACAACGTATTGTCCTTTGGTCGCAGATCTTATATCAAGAGAATGTTCGAATTCTCTTGTAATAGACTCAATGGTACTTGCTGGACTTGGTAAAGGAGAAGCTGGTACTAAGATTTCTGTGGTAGGTGGCTGAAATTTGTATATTCATGTAAAGAAATGCTTTTGAACGTTAAATTTTACAAAAATTAGATAATAGAGAATTGAGAAAGATTTGTCAAACCATTATGTTCTTACGTATGAATGATAGGCTGCGTATAAAAAGGACTAGAAGGAATTAGGTGTGTAGGTCTATTTGTTGTTCTTTTATATATAGAAGAAAGAAGATATTAAAATATCTTACAGCAAGATCGGTAGGCGTTTGCACTTTAGATTTCTTCTTACGTCTTGGTGGTGCTACAGGCACGTCTACTTTCGTACCATCCTCCAAGACCTTCCCATTATTTTTTGTACTCGCGATGACGTCGGGTTCTTGAAGCATCACAGTCTTGTCACTTTGCGGACGAGAGACATAATCGCATCTACCGTTAACAGAGGATTCCTGAAGGATATCCCCTGATAAGGTAAGGACGCTTGATGACTGAGACAGCTTACCAGACGCAGTATCCTCGTCTTTGTTTTGAGTACTAGCAATGGAGGACATCTGGTTTTCACGAGTAATGACAGTCGATCCAGAACACTGGGCTACACCTGGTGCAAGTATCCCAGAAACATTATCCGTTGGACCAGCTAAAATTCGACCTACTCGGCCTAAAGAAGTCATACTTTGCAGACTGAGAGTATCATGTTCTATTATTCGGAACGGGTGGGTCGTTTTAGAAGGCATTGGATAAACTCCTTCGATGGAAGAAGTTTGACTATCCGGAGGAGAACTATTGACAGGAATATCTTCATCTTCTGTCTGCATGCGTTGTCTCAATTCACGAAATCTCCTTCTACCCACAATCTTATCCGTATGTGTCACCTTTCCATCTTCCTCCTACAATGTTAATAAATTGTTAATTTTTATTATATATCAGAGAGAGAGAGAGATGTTATTTATTAATATAATATTATGTGATACTTACTAAAAGTCTATCCTTGCTGTGTGCTCTTTCCAAAACTACATTATCTTTAATATCAGAAGTTGGTTTAGGGTCTGCAGGTTTGACAAAAACATCATCCACTATTTCTTTAGTAGAATCTGGTATACCCTGAATTTGTATCTCTGCGCTTGTTGAATCACGCTGTCTGACTTTCCTATAATACAATTATTATTACATTAAGCAATGAAATACATTCATGTATAAACATATATATGCAAAGAACCTGTTGTTTCAGTACAGATCATTGACTCATATTTCACAATGTATTTCATATAATTTAAAATATTGACAAGATAAACAAAGGAATAATCTGGAGATGTTTATTATGTAATAAAATAGTTAACTAAAAAGATATTCGTAGAAGTTATTAATACAAAAGATATTAATGAATTGAAATAAAATTGCATGAATGTTAAATAGATTTTAAATGATATGATAAAGAGACGTAGTAAAGTAATAAATAATTACTTCGATACGCGATGGAAAGAATCGTCCTCCGCGTCGAAGAACTCCTCGGAATCGCTGCTTCCAGACATCGTCGTCCTTGGTGAACGATCGCCGTTGACACTCTGGTCAGCATCGGTGGTAAGGTCGCAACGCGCGTCACGCGATCGCGAAGACAGTAGTCGTGAACGTAGAAGGAAGGTAAGAAATTTCAGGACGCAATAGGAAAGAAGGAGACATCATTCAGTTCGCTCTCTGTCTATCTCTCTCGCGAGGATAAAAGAGAATAAGAAGGAGCGAGGATGAGGCGATGCCGATGATTAGAGGAAGCTTACGCGAGAGACGAATGCGAGGGTGAAGCAATGAGTGAGGAACTTACTAGCACGCACACGCGTAGTACATAGGTATTGGTATGCAAATACATATCAAATACATAGGTACTTGTTATACGCACGTCATGTCGTTTGTACAGGGCTAAAATTCCGAGCAGAGCTGGTGATGGAAGCAGCTACAGAGGAGTGAGATGGAGAGGGTAAAAGAGAAAGATAGAAAAAAACAGAGAAAGAGAGAGAGAGAGAGTGAGAGAGTGAGTGAGAGGGATGAAGAGAGAGAGTAAAAACATCCATGTCCAAGTCGAAAAATAAAATCACTAATTTTTTCTAGGGAATTTTTGGAATGCTCTGAAGTTAGTCGAAGTGGCAACCCTGCTAGAGGAAATTCAACGAGAGCGCCATGTCGCTCGAAGCGATATTGCGATTGGTCGAACGAAACGAGTTTCTTAATCTCGAAACTCGTGCCGTTGCCCGCTCGTCGGCATGCCTGCCGCAAAGGAGGCGAACCGTCACACAAAAGCAAGATGGAGGATCTCACAGTCGAAGTATGCGGCGAAAACGGAGCATATTATAAGGTTCGTTCTGTGGAAAGTATAGAAAATGTTGAGAGGAATATGAAGGCCGTTGATAGTACGAGCTACGAGCCGTGAAGAGATTCTAATATAACGTTACGCTCGCTCGTACTTCGCGAAAGCGCGCACCTCAAATGTTCGCGAGGTAACGCGGCTTCTTCCGACGCCATGTCTCGTTTGACAGGGCGTGAATTTTTCCCACGAGTTAACTTTTCGTCTATCGTGATATCCCACGTCTGGATATATACTGGTTAAACTCTTATGTTTAACCGTTTCACCTAGAAACGGATCCTATCTACGCGTTAATGATGGCATTGCCTAACGCGTGCCGCTGTCACGTCCAGTCTCGATCCATGCCACTCGATGCGTTTTCATCATTTTTATTTCATATATATTTACACGATATCCTTTTCATCTTTTTCAGGCCTTTGTCACCGATGTCTTTGACGAAGAAGTTCTGGTAACGTTTGAAAATGAGTAAGTTTCTTCAGCTACTACTTCCAAGCTCTATTACATCTACAATATTATAGAAGGGCTTAGACTACTATCTAGAAAATACATACATACTAGAAATTGCATCATACCAACGTTTTCTATTACCTCGTGCTTTAAAATTCGAAGAAAAAGCTTATTAATCATTTATTTTATTGCTTACCAACGAGATTATTAATGGGAAACTATCACTTTGTATTTCTTAACATGTTCATGTCCATGTTTGGTCATCTCTCTTGCCCATTAATCTTTTGTTTGATGCACTTGCTAAAGCAAAGAAATATTCATTTTTTTTATTCACATTTATATTATTTTTTAATGCTTTTACTTCAGTTTAATCATATTTGTTGCTATAATGGCATATTTACTTGTTAAATAATTAGAATTTTGTTTAAACGTATGCTCTTTATTTCATTATATTTTACAAGTATATTGTTATAATATAAAAAAAGATAAAAATGTGCTATTGCTTTATTTGCGTATTGTACAAGCTAATATTATGCAAAACTTTTGATTTATATTAGTTTAACTACATAGCCAAAAGTTTTAGCATCTTAATAAAAAAGTTCATGCATTTCATATCTTATTTATACTGTGTATCATTTAGTATGACTCAGCATGTTATATGACATTTTAGCTGGCAACCTGAGTCCAAATTCCCTTTTGCTCAAGTAAGATTACCACCAAAAGATGGTATCAAAGCAGATTTTCAAGAGAACCAAGAGATTGAAGTATTTTCTAGATCTAACGAACAAGAAGCATGGGGATGGTGGAAAGCCCTTATCAAGGTTCGTAAACATCTGCATAAGTATATAATAATTTGATTCCGAGTACTTTAAATGTATTTATTATATAGCGTTATGCGATACTATGTAATTCACATTTTTATTATCTTACAGATGATCAAAGGAGGTTTTCTAGTAGTCGAATATTTGGGATGGGATTATACTTATACAGAAATTATAAGTAATGAGCGACTGAGAGTAAAAAACCTCAATCCCCCTATTGACAAAAATACATTTCACAAGATCGAAATTGAAGTACCTGAAGATTTGAGAGAATAGTAAGTAATAGTTTAAAATTATGATATAAAAATTTTATTATCTTTTATATCTAAATTCTAACATTGTCCTACGCATTAATGTAAGTTTATTCTCTTATTGAAAGATAATATGGATAGTATGTAATTTAATTTATTTTATTATAGCGCAAAAATGGACAATGCCCATAAAGAATTTCAAAAAGCTATCGGGGCAGCAGTGTGTCGATATGTACCTGATCGAGGAGTACTGCTGGCCATCTCCCGTCATGAAAATATACATCGTCACAGTACCATGCTCCAAGAAATGCATTTTCGTAATTTATCACAAAAGGTATATATGCTTAGTTTAATATAATCAACTATAATTATTGTTATAATATTTTTGATAAAACGTTTGAATTATCATTGGTGATCATTCATCACACTTTCGTTGTATCATTTTATATACACTTGTTTATAGGTTTTGCTGTTGAAAAGAACAGAAGAAGCAGCTCGCCAACTCGAATCTACGAAACTTCAAACGATGGGGGGGTAAGTCAATGATATAATAATTTATCTCGTAAATTAAAAGTATGAATCTTGTGACATTCATCACCTGCCCTTATCCACATACTGTCCTCATAACCATCCTGTCTGTGGTTTGCATTTACTGGCAGAAATATGTTCACAAGATTTTTAACAGATGGCTATTTTTGCAAGCAGTGTAAGCAATATTTTATTCAATTGACGCTTATTAATTAATTTAATCATTAGTAGGATTAATGGTTAACACTATTAAAGGTCTTATTGCTTTGAAATTAATTTTTATATCGCCGCGCGCGCGTATTACAATATAAATATTAATTCTTACAGAATGATTTGTCTGTAGAGAAATTAGTTAATGTAATCGTTAATTGTTAATTAAATTAAATATTACTTACAACACTGTTTACAAGATTAATTATATCATATAACTTTATAGATATACAAAAAAAGGCACATTATTACTCATTTTTCATGTACTAATGCAATCTCATTTATCTTTCATTAGTACCATAACTGTAAATAGCACGCATAAAACATATAAGCAAAGTACAATAAGGAAATCGATGTGGAGTGTAATTTATTGCATTAACAATTTTACACATAAGCATGTTTCTTTGATAATGTATAATAAAAAGAAAACAATTCTTTTTATTGCAAAAAAAATTCTTAAAGAAACATGTTTCTTAGTGCAGTATCATTAGTTTTGATTTTCGATTATAAACGAAGTTAATTTACTTCGATGGCTTGATGCATCCCTGTCCAATTATAACATCCAGTAGGATAAAGTGATCGCAAGAAGTTATTTCCAACGTTTTGAAAAATTTTGATTTATAGTAGACCACATTGTAGGAACAATTATTTAAGAAAACTGACCAAATTCTTTAAGTATAACTCATATTGTTTTGTACTACATTTCAATGGCATTAAATTAACAAATTTCTTTCCATACCGTTTGGCAACATATATTTAAGTTTTTAATTAATTTAATTTAAATGCGACACGGAGATAAAAATATTGAGTTGATTTTCAAAGATTTTTGCTGCAGCCATAATTCATGCAGTAAGCTGTTTCCTCCCATTGATCATAGTTGAGTAAGTATACCAAAATAAAATGCCAAAATATTTAATAATTTGATGCAGGTATGTGTGAGTTGACTTTTGTCTAATATAATATAATATAGATAATTCAGTAGATCAGAGTTGGAAACAAGAAATGACACACCCATTTATATTCTTTATGAAGGAACAAACAGACAGAATGGAAGGGACATAGGGTAGGGCCATCTAATATAGAGATTTCACTGAGCTACACCAGAGTTTCTTTCTCATTTCAGCAAGTTTAGATCTTCAAACTTTATATATCAGCGTGTCTCAGACTTTGAGGCAGGAGTGAGAACAAATTCAAGGTGAGATCACAGCAGCGTGGTTTAGATATAAGTTAGCTTACTGTATGACAAGCTACACAGCTGTATTTTCCCATTGAAAGATAAAATTACACTATAAATATGCATGCTTCGGCGTTGTGTAGTTCTTTCACAGAGATCATATGCTTTTCAAATACACTGATACAAGATCTATATATATATATTTATATTATTTATATTCTTTTATTTTTTTTTATTATGTGCTCTGTAGTCAATTTTGAGTGATTGTGTAAAATAGTTAACCGATACATAAGCGTGTAGCTGTGATCAATTTTTTTTAGTTACAATCTTTATCTTTAAAGTCAAGTAGAATTTTAAGTTCATGGATTTATCTTTTAAAAGGAAGCATTAAACCTTGGCCTGCCGATGTTTGAGAAACACTGATATATTCCATGTTTTGCACATATGTATTTAAATAAATGGTGGCTCTATCCTATGCTGATACATGACGCGAATATACACATGGTACCACATACTGTATATTATCTTATAAATAAAGGACATTTCCTCCAATGATCCTCCAATGATCAACAATGTTAATCAATATAAATTTATATGTGGTAACTACTTTTATCAAAATTTCTTGTAGCCAAATTTTAACATAACTTCATCATCTCTTCCTTCAATTCATACACCCTCAACATTTCATTATGTGTATTCCATATATATATATAAATATATTATTATAATATCATGATTTTTAATATTACAGTTATAATTGACTTTGCATGCCAATTCGATGATTTTGAAATGCATAATTTAGTGTCAATATACTCATTTTTGTCAATCATTTGAACATCAATATTTATGCACTTCAATTTCTTTATTTTACAGTAAATGTTAATTTATGTATGTTCATCTTGCATGATTATTTTTTTGCATTACTATACATATTCAGATAAACTTTCGGTAAAATAAGAAAATATTATTCTCTTACATGATGTATTTATTGTGGAAAGTTATTCACTCGAATCTGCCAAAATGCAAGCCACAGTTAAAAGAAAAGAAAAGAAAATATATTTTATAAAAAAAACATGTCGCATTTGGCATGTTATGATATATGAATATATAAATATATATGTATTTATATATACATACATCTTATTTTATATATTTACTGATATATATAGTTAAGGCATGTTACTTTCTGTGTGATACGATCATTATTATCATATTATAATATTGGAGAGT